CCTTCAGGTGTCAAAGTGTAGGGACATGCTGGCTGGTGGTATCACACAGCCATACCTTGGACCCAAACTGTAACTGGTAGAAAGTCACTCGCACTCCAGACACTTTTGTAGTCCTTTATTGACCAAAAGGGTCACATACATTTAGCGACGTTTCAAGAGACCGTCTGGTCTCTTCAGGCAAAACAAAAGTTTGAACTTTTTTTGTTTTGCCTGAAGAGACAAGACTGTCTCGAACGGCACGTAAGCTGTGTGACCCTTTGATTGTCAATGAAGATGACTACAAAAGTTTCTGGAGTTTGTTTCTGACATGCAGAGGCATCTGTGGTTGCTCCAGCACCCTTCTGCACTTTGGGTTTTTTCCAGTCAGGAGTGCAATGGGATTTACCATATACTTTGGACCCATTCACAATGCTGTGTTGGGCTAAGTGCACACAGCTGACCTAGCATGGAGTACTGTGCACTAACTGCATAGGCACTTGTTTGAATGGCACCCCAACATTCCAGAGGCTTTGCACTGCACACTACCTCAATACATGCATTGCAGCAAGGGAGGGAATGAATGCACTATTTCCCAGTGCACCACAAAAACAGTATTGAGTTGCCATGTGCTGCACTGCAATGACCACTGGGAGGTGCATTGGGTTGCCATTCAAAGAAAAGCACCTAGTGTAGTTTTGCACACTAGGTGCAATGGTGTGCGATCAGCACAATACAGTAGTGTGGCCCTTACTGGCTTAATTTAGTAATAAAGTGAATATTGAAGATTTGAAAGCTAAATACAGCATCCATAAATGCAAACTTGTAAAAAATTTCTTTAACAAGTTGCACCAGTTTAGGAAGATTCAGTTCTCTGTGTAATATATGTGGCTCTGGTGCCATTTAATTCACTTGTCATTAGATCGAAGTAAACTGTCAAAACTTAGCACCAATCTTTGAATTCCCCTGTATGGTTTTTGTCTTATTGTTGCCATTGTTCTGAGGCATTAAAGGGTTAACAATGTCAAACCCTGATCTGTTAAGTCTCTATGGGTGTGATCTGAAAGGAGTGGAGTCCCTGGGTTGCCATCAATGGTAGTGATGAGCTGGGGCTTGGTGCAAACCGAGTTCACCTAAGCATGCTCAAACCTGTGACATGCCACAACTGATGCTCAATCAGTTGTGGCAATGATCCTCTTGCTTTTTTGACTAAAACGTCTGTGCCCCAATGGTACATACACAGCAATTACACTGACTGGTTCTAAACCTTCACCAGTCTATACAAAACTCACTTGAACCTTTTTGGCTTGACTTTAATTTGTATGCACAATTATGTGGAAGTGTTCAAAATTGAGATGCATGAGGTAGCCGCCATCCCGTTACCATTATAAACCTCTATCCTGTGGTTGTTTAAACACGTGGTGATATGCCATATCATGGGCTCAAGATGGAAGAGTCCCCTGTACTTTACATTACCTGGAAAAACATGTTTTTGGGGGAGGCCTGCCTCTTCTGCGTTTTTTTTGTTTTTTGAGTGGTAGTCTGAATTTTTCCTGCAGAGATTGTTCTTTAAATATGCTTTTGTATGAATATCGCCTGTACAATTTCCCATAAATGACCTGTGCTTTTCTTGTTTCAGGACTGGTGAAGACATATATTATCCTGAGAAGAAATGTGAAGTATAACTTGAATAAAAATATTTGCTGAGACTGTTTTGCTTGCGTCTGGTTTTTGTTTTGCAAACTTTCATTACAAAGTAATACCCATGTATGCAGACCAATGCTGCCAGTTATGTGCTGGCTCTTCAGCTTTACAGATTAGATTGTCTCTCTCGATAAACATGTGAACCTGATAAAAATCACCAGGTAATAATCTGCTGGACTGTATTGGTGAGATCACTGCCCTTGAGAGCCTTGGTCTAAATGCCAACTGTTGCCATAATGAAGTGTGCTTCTTTTTGGTTCCATTTTATATTTTGAGGAGCGCAGCAGGAGATTCTGGAACAGACAACTACATGCAGGAAAACATTTGTTCTGTGTGTATAGCCTAAGGAAGGTTTCAGTTGACATGGTTTACCAGTCTCTACCTAAAATATAACTTTTGGGCTATGGCTACCATTTGGACCATGTTTCCTGGGAGCAATTCCTGTTTTGAGCAAGTCTGTCACTGGGTTGTGGTGGGGCTTTTTCTCCTCTGCCCTGCCCCCTCCCCTCTAGTGTGAATGTTTTATTTAAAAAAAAGTGCTTTGGCTCTGTTAATATTGCTCAAATGCCAAGGATTTTTTTTTCTGTTCTGAATATACTATTCCAAACGGGAAGTTTGCTCTACGTTGCCACCTTGTTCCTTATGTGCTATAGATGCAGGCATGGGCAAAGGCAACAGTAGGGCAAGTCAAAAAGGCATAAAGCTGGAAAAAAACAAAAACTTCAATCTTTTATACAGTATACTTTGCTAAGCTGGAGTTCAGCTTCATGTACTTTAGACTTGCACGATCTGTTGCCCATGCCTGCATCCAAGCTCTATAGCACATAAGGACTCAAACCAAGGTGCCAACTTGGTAAGCATCCTCTAACCCTTTTGCTGCCACTGACATACCTCCTACATCCACGGCAGTGGGCCCGTGGAAACAGATTCCCAATGGCGATTGTTTACAGTGGAAGTGTTCTAGCAGTTGAGCTGCCGCCAGATAAGCTTTCAGGGGCTGGTTTAGTGCATGCCAAGCCTTGCTTCCTGGGCTCCACTGTCACTCTTGCGTGACTTTCATGTCAGAGTGGGGACTACCTATGGGGCCAGAAGCAACGCTGATTGCATCACTTCCAGTCCCTCAGCTGTCATTGCTCAGCTCCAGAAAACTGGCAATAGGCTATTGGAGTGTTATTTGTGCTCCAAAAGCCAACTTGGAGTGCAAAGGTGATGGGTCTAATTGACTTGGGTTTGATAAATTTGTGCTAATTGCAGGCAATGTAGTAATTTGCAGCTGCTACTTTTTTCCTTCAATGGGTTTTCAGGTGCGTTCTGCTGCATTTGTATGTGGTTCCATGTGTTGTGCTGCATTCCAAAACTGACAAAGATGTGCAGTATGTGTCTGGTCTGGACCTGACTGTGCTGGTGTAAACAGAGGCCAGAAATAGCATAGGGATGCATTTTGGGTACAGAAACAAATCTAGTCTGGATGTGGTGTGCATGGGCTCTAAAATGTTGCTTTACATCATGGGTGCAAAACAAATTGCCTTGGCAGTGAGGGTTAAAGCCCAAGTAAAGTTTCAGGACACATATGATCCGGGTGCAGTAAACTTGGAGTGTGAGAGCAGTGGTCTTCTTACCTTGGGTGGACATGCCCACTACTGTGTCTGACGTACAGCTAGCCAATCAGCAACTTCTGCAATGTGATTACTCTGAAGCAGGGAGTCTGTTCTGCTTTTCTGCAGACTACTGCTAGGCAAGGGGGTCATTCACCCC